TGTATTTTTTGAGTTGGAGTCTCACTCGGTCACTCAGACTGGAGTGCAGTGGCCGGGGGGCAGCCTTGACCTGCTGGGCTCCGGCGATCCTTCCGCCACAGCCTTCCGAGTAGCTGGAATTACAGACATGCGCTACCACGCCTGGCTGATTTTTTGATTTATTGTAGAGATGAGGTCTCGCTGCCCAGGCGGGTCTCGAACCCGCGGGCTCAGGCAATCCACTCACCTCAGCCTCCCAAAGGTGCAGGATTACAGGCTGAGCCACCGAACCTGACTTAAAGCTACTATATTAGACTAAGGAAATCATGTCTGAAAATACAGTAGTTTTGTCTTCAGCAGGCACATGGCTATACTTTGTGTGCAAATATTCCAAGTAAGAGAAAAGACGAGCCCTACAATACAGCTTTCCACAGAAATAACTATGACCTATAGTAACGGCAAATGCACAAGAAGCCCACACAAACAAACCTCAGCTGCTCCATCAGCAGCCTTTTTCAGGCCCCATCCGGCACTGGCCCAATCGTCAGCCACGCTCCGATCAGCACAGATGATAAAATTGTCAAAAAAGATGTCAGAGGTCATGGACCATAGCTCCAAGCCAACAGCGCTGAAGGGAGTCATTCTGAAAGGTTCCAAATCTTCAAAGAAATCGGGATTTGGTATTTTTCTGGGTTTCCAGATTCCCTAGAAAAACATGTTTTAAAAAATTACTTCAGATAATGACCATCAAGCATTTATGATGAGCTTACTGTAGGGTGAATTCTCCATATCGATAGAGATAAATGCTGACTTAGTGAAGCTGAAATGAACAACATGAATAAAACAATAAGTGCTACTGATGTCTGACACACCCTGCTGTGAAGATTTCTGGACTCCAGTTACTTTCAGTTTCTAATACCATCCATGACCTTGATCCAAACCAACACCTCACTGTGCCTGGCACACCAACAGCCTCCACTCTTACCACCTGCTGGTGGGAGTGAAGTCAGTACAGACGTTTTCAGTTGTGATTGATTGATTGATTGAGTTGGAGTCTCACTCTGTCACCAAGGCTCGAGTCCAGTGGCACGTTCATGGCCACCCCAGCATCAACTTGCTGGGCTCCGGCGATCTTTCCACCTCAGTGCTCCAAGTAGCTGGGAACTACAGGCATGCACTACCATGCCCGGCTAATTTTTTCTTTTTTTTTTTTCTGAGTTGCACTCTCACTCTGTCGCCCAGACTGGAGTGCAGTGGCTGCTCCCGGCCACTGCAGCCTCGACCTGCCGGGCTCCAGCGATCTTTCTGCCTCAGCCTTCCAAGTAACTGGAATTACAGGCAGGTGCTACCACGCCCGGCTGATTTTCGATTTATTGTAGCGATGAGGTCTCCTCAAGTTGCCCAGGCGGGTCTCGAACCCATGGGCTCAGGCAGTCCACTCACCTCAGCCCCTCAAAGTGCAGGGCTTACAGGCTGAGCCACCAAGCCTAGCCTCAGTGGTGACTTAAAATAAAATGAACATAACCTTCAACATCACTCCACTTCTAGATAACTCAGAGAAGTAACACATATGCCTAGAAATGTACAAGGATAATTACTGCTAAGTATAGCGGCTCATGTGTAATCCCAGCACTTGGGAAGGCTGAGGTAAAAAGACAGGCTGAGCCCAGGAGTTCAAAGCCAGCCTGGGCAACATGGTGAGACCTAGCCTACAAAAAAACTAAAGACTAGCTAGGCGTGGTGACGCATGTCTATAGTCCCAGCTATTGGAAAGGTTGAGGTGGAAGGATCACCCGAGTCCAGCAGGTTAAGACTGTGGTAGCTGTAAGCATGCCACTGAACTTCAGCCCGGGCGACATAGTGAAACCTTGTCTCAAGCAAAATAAAAATAGAAGAGAAAAAAGGGTCTCCAATTCCACAGGAAACCCTGAGCTCCACAACCGTACTACCTGCATCCTCGCCAGCAGCTGAGCCTCAGCCTTTATGTAGCTGAAGATAGTGAGGCCAATCAGTGAGCTGAAGTGACATGGTCAAGGAGCCAACTCATGCCACAGTCTGCAATCACGATGTAACAGACCAAGCAGCCTGGGGTACAGATCCCATGACTGATGCACCCCTGCCACCCACTCTACCAGGGTGCCCAAAGCAAGTTTCCCATGTCTCTTCTTTTTGTATTTAAACATAGTTACAAAGCAATTATGAAAACTATTCTCTCTACTTTCAAGGTTTAACTTTGTAACACCTAAACCATTAAGCGTTCTCTCAACTTATGAAGTTTACTGTCTACTTTTTAAAAATTTTCTAAAAAAAAAAGCCCAAAAAACAAATTTCCTCCTTCTAACATAATAGCATGAATATAATGATCAACTGGCAGCCTCACTGCAGACAAAATTTCTGTGTGAACACAAACAGATCGATGAAGGACACTCGACCCTCAAGAAGCACAAACCTGGTAGTTGGGGTTGTCAATCATGGGAGCCTTCCACTTGCCCTTATAATTAGGGTTGTCAATCAGAGGTCGCTGCCAGACGCCACACCCAGGGGCTGACTCACATTTTGGGTTGGCAATCTGAGGAGCCTCCCATTCTCCATCCATGTCTTCATCCCTGTGGGGATATAAATAGGAAATTACAGATGGGATCTACCACGCAGGACTACGGGCAGCTGGCTGGCCCACTCTCCAGAGATCCTATGGAAATGTCTCCACGGGTCACACTACAGAAGACCCTCTTCTCCTGTTTCTGTATTTCTAGCAACAACAGTGTTTCACAACAGATGCATTTTTTTAGAAAGATGAAAATATAATTAAATGTGTCAAGCTGTACCCTTACATTTGGGGACTTGGCTATATTTAAGTATTGCGTTTGACTTAATTAAAAAAACAAACAGGTACCACCTCATCAACAAGGGTACCTACATAATGAACATGTGTATACCTAACCCTGAATTGTATCCCACATCTTTCAAAATAATAAATAAATTAATAAAAAAATAAACGGGTAATTTAAAAAGTTAACTGAAGCTCGCACCAATCCTCAGGCTTCTCTGCATCTGGATCAGGTATATATTCAGGCTCATCATCTAACCAGCCTTCTGGTTTTGTGGCTTCTTCATCTGGAATCTTAGCAGGGGCATCTTCATCCCTTAAACACAGGAGAAAAAGCCTGTTAAGACAGCACTGGCCAGAAAGTGACAAGGTACTCCCACTTTGTGAACTGGAAACAAAGCATTCTAAAAATATACAGTTCATACTTGATCTCAAAATTTAAGTAATTCACCCTAGAAGATATTTGCAGGTCATATATCTTGTAAGGACCAAGTAAAAAGAACTTTTTGGCCGGGCTCGGTGGGCTCGGTGGCTGAGCCTGTAATTCCAGCACTTTGGGAGGCCGAGGTGAGTGGACTGCCTAAGCCCATGGGTTCGAGACCCACCCGGGCAACTTGGCGAGACCTCATCTCTACCATAAATCAAAAATTAGCCAGGCATGGTAGCACACGCCTGTAGTTCTGGCTACTTGGAAGGCTGAGGCGGAAGGATCGCCGGAGCTCAGCAGGTTGAGACTGTGGTGGCCAGGCGCTTGCCACTACACTCTAGTCTGGGTGACAGAGTGAGACTCCAACTCAAAAAAATACAACAACACAACTTTCAACTCAGTAATTAAAAGGCAACTAAAAACCCAATTAAGAAAGCAACAGAGCTGGGCTCGGTGGCTCGGCCTGTAATCCTGCACCTTTGGGAGGCTGAGGTGAGTGAACTGCCTGAGCCCACGGGTTCGAGATCCACCTGGGCAACTTGGAAAGACCTCATCTCTACAATAAATCAAAAATTAGCCGGGCATGGTAGCGCGCACCAGTAGTTCCAGCTACTTGGAAGGCTGAGGCGTAAGGATCGCCGGAGCCCAGCAGGCGAGGCTGCGGTGGCCGGGAGCGGCCACTGCACACTCCAGTCTGGGTGACAGAGTGAGACTCCAACTCAAAGAAAAAAAAAAGAAAGCAACAGGAGAGCACAGTGGCTCACACCTGTAACCCCAGCACTTTGAGAGGTTGAAGCCAGAGGTTTGGCTGAGGTCAGGGGGGTTTGAGACCAACCTGGGCAACGTGGTGAGAACTCGTCTCTACAATAAATTTTTAAAAATTAGCCAATTAGCCAGGCATGGTGGCACATGACTATAGTTCCAGTTACTTGGAAAGCCGAGGCAGAAGGATTGTCTCGGTCTAGCAGGTCAAGACTGCGGTGGCCGTGAGGGTACCACTGCAACTCCACCCTGAGTGACAGAGTGAGACATCGACTCAGAAAAAAAAAAAAGATGTTCACCATCACTAGACATCAGGAAATAAGGAAATGCAAAACCAAACCTCAAAACCAATTCACATCCACTAAGATGGCTCTAATACCAAACTGATAAAAAAAAAAAAAACAACAAGTGCTAGCGAGGATGCAGAGAAATCGTAACCCTTGTACACTGCAGGTAGAAAAGTAAAGTGGTGCAGCTGATTTGGAAAAGTTTGGCAGTCCATCAAAGTTAAACAGAGCTACCATATGACCCAGCAATTTCTCTTTTAGGTATATACCCAAGAGACATGAAAATAAGTGCTTACACAAGAGCTAGTAGAGGAATGTCCATAGCAGCATTACTTACAACCATAGCCAAAAAGGGGAAACAACCTAAATGTGCATTAACGAAGTGCGATGGGACCTTAGACAGTGGAGTATGATTCAGTCTTGACAGAAATGAAGTCCTGATGCTTCACCGCGGAGGAGCCTTGAACATGGGTGCTAAGTGACACTTGCCAGACACACGAGGCCACTGTATGAGTTCATTTATATGAAATAAACAAATCCAGAGAGGCAGAAAGCAGATTAGTGGCTGCTAGGGGCTAGAGGAAGGAGGAATCGGAGCGACTGCTTAATGGGCACAGGTTTCTTCTTGGGTAATAAAGTCAGTTAAGAAATACAATACAGCCAGGCTCGGTGGCTCAGCCTGTAATTCCGAGCCTTTGGGAGGCTGAAGTGAGTGGATTGCCTGAGTCCGCGGGTTCGAGACCGCCTTGGCAATGAAACCTCATCTCTACAATAAATAAAAAAAAATCAGCCGGGCGTGGTAGCGCGTGCTTATAATTCCGGCTACTCAGAAGGCTGAGGCGGAAGGATCACTAGAGCCCAGAAGGCGAGGCTGCGAGCGGTCACTGCACTCCAGTCTGGGTGACCGAGTGAGACTCCAACTCC